TTTACAAAATGTGCTGCCACATGCGTTACTACTCGTAGAAATCCTAGGATCCACAACATCCGTGTAAGAACTGTCCCTGCGAACGCCTGGGTCCATTTTGCTAATTCACAGGTGAACTCGCCCAATCCCAGGAGAAGGAATTGGTGGTGGAGCCCCCGTTCGCTCCTCTGAGACTAACGCAGGTTTGGAGAGAAACCAGCGCGGTGCTGCGCGGGAGGGGACAGAGCCCTGGGGTGGGGATCTGGCCGCCGGAGGCCCCAGCTTTCGCGCGCCCCCGGGGAAGTGTGAGTGGTCCGCCCGCCTCTCCGGGCTGGCATCTCTAACGTAGAAATCGGGGCTAACACCCATCTCTGGGAAACGTGTGGCACCAGCAGACGTTTGCCCTCAAAAGAAGTTCGCTCGTGCTTTTGAAATCCCATTGAAAGAGTGGGTCTGTTGATGGAAAACAAGCGCAGGGAAGGTGTAATGGCGCGTTATTCCAACAGGTGGCAGCGACGGGAGGAAGCCGGTCCTGCCCCAGGTGGTCCGTTCACAGAGTGAGCGGGAACCCTAAGAGGTGCCTCCGTCCACACAGTACGATTTACTGCCTCTCTTTTTTCTGTGCTGCATGTTCATGAAAATCTCCACAGCCATTTTTTTGTGTTTCAATGTTGTAGATTCATTTAAATGAAAAATGATAGGTTTCTTAGAACATCTGTGAGCTTGATCCACGTAATCACGCTCCATCTCCTGCCTAGTCCTAGAGGCACCGCTGGGAGGAAGGAGAGCGCAGGAGGGGCAGCGCCTGGTGTGTGTGGCGATGCTGCCCGCGCTCGGTTCCTGAGGCCCAAGGAGGAGTCTGGGCGAAATCTACCGGAGGTGGTGGTTGCTCTCTGCCGAGCGCAGACTGGGTCCCGGGGGATCAGAAGTGAATTGGACCTTTGTTTCCTTCTACGTGTTCAGAACCTCCCTGTACAGGCACAAAACTATCTGAAACCTTCTGTACTGGCGCCCTCCCTCTCTTTGTCTATTTGTCCTCAAGAGGAAGGAAACCGCTCCGACAGCCCCTGCCCCGCCCACCATCTCCACAGTACTCACGGGGCGGTCCCGTGTCCGCTGGAGGAGGACCAAGCAGGGGGAATCCACTGCCCCTGCCCTGCGTGGGCGCTGCAGGTCCAGGCTCCGTCCTCAGGGCCGGCGGCCTGGCCGCGCTCGTCATGGGCCCCTGCTGCAGGCACGTGAGACGAGAAGGCTCGGGTGTGAAGCCCACGGACTGAGACGGGAACTTCAAGGGCTGCGGCCCAAGCTCACGGTCTATTCTTGCATGGACGTGGGAGCTCAATGCTCAGAGCTCATAATTAGCCAAATTGGTCTGCGTTATCCCAGTCTCTGAGGACTTGCTGTTATTAACAGAAGAGGAAAGTGGAAGGTGCTTTCAAGGGTTTGGGCCCTCTCCCTTCCCAGGAGGTAGCTCCCCTATACTTCTCCCTTCCAACTTTCAAGATGCAGGAATTTTATAAATTCAGACAAGTTTTTCCATTAAAAAAGGAATGTGTTATTTCACCTAACATAATAGTCTCCAGTTCCAGGCTGGGTGGAGGAGGGCTAAGGGGGAAAAAATTAGCCAACTGCAATAGAATAAACAAGAATAATAAAAAATATTAATAAAAAAATTTAAAACAATGTGTGACTTGTATGTTTGCACATTCATGAATTGATCATTCTATGTAGAGATATTTATGTTTTCTATTGCAAGAATATGATATAATTTCTATTTTCTATTTAAAATTGATGTCTCTAAGGAGAAACTTCCTCTTTTTTTATAGTCCTGCTTTGGGGTTTTGGACATGTGTTAAGACATGTGGATTTTGTTGCTGTTGTTGTTGTTAAGTTTTATTTTGAAAGACAGCCAAAGTCCTAATTTTTCCATAGAACTTATGCTTGTTATTACATTAGACAGCCATCTATTTTGTTATGTGAAATTGACCATTTTCTTAAATCCTACAGGGGGGTTCACAGATGTCTGTGTTCTAAATGTAAGGCTGCAGTCATCTCATCTTTTTTTAAATTGAATTTATTGAATCCCTTTCATTAATAACATTATGTAGCTGTCAGGTGTCACAGTTCTATAGTACATCATCTGTATATTGTATTGCATGTTCATCACCCCAAGTTCAAGTTTCCTTCTGTCATCATTTATCCCCCTCTTTACCCTCTTCTACTGCCCCTACCCTTCCTTTCCCTCTGGCAATCACCATGCTGTTTTCTGTGTCTAGGAGATACTTTGTTTGTTTTGCTTATGTTGCAATGAAAGTCCAATACTTTTTGATATTTTGTTCATTGCATGTAAGTCACAAGGTCTGGACTACATTGAGATGGTATATACAAAGTCATGAACGCAGAAAGCAGAGGATATTAGGAGCATCTTAGAAGCTGCCCACCACAAAGGCTTCAATGTCCATCAGGAATTTAGGCTGTGAGCACAGCAATGTCCTAGAGCTGTCTCTCTGCTTTCCAGCACAGTCCCCAAACTTCCACATCACCATCTTGTTAAAAAATAAAAATAAAAATAAAAATAAAATAAAATAAACCTTTACCCAAAAAGAACTAGTACATGAAAGAACTTGCCCTGTTCTAGGTATTTCTGCAGACCCCACAATGCTGCTTCTGACCATCATGAAAAGAAGTCTCCCTGGTTTCTCTCACACCAACAGATTCCTTTCATCTTTGCCGGGAGAAGCCATAGCCACTTCAACACATGTCTCTGGAGGCTTCTGATTGATCCACTACTAAGGACTTATCTCTCTCCAAATATATTTTCTTTATAATCTTTGTATTTTAACTCCTGAAATCTTTTAAAATGTGATTTTGGCTGATATAGTAAGAGAAAGTGGAATGTATGGGAATCGGTTATTTGTGACAACCCAATCTAATTTTTGCAGGCCTTCTGGCTCAGATTTCTCTGTATGAGGAGCTCAGAGATTGATTTCACATTAACTGATATGAAGAAAACTTGATTACTTGACCAGTTATATTGGATATGGCATAAACTATGCTACTAACGTGTGGGTGTGTAAATGGCAGGAGAAACCTTTAGGGAGCCAAAATGACCAAATCGCAGGAGTATAGAGAGGAAGTGGAGAAGGAGACATGAGCACTGAGACATTTTAGAATGCTTGGGCAGGAAGGAAAAGCTAATGTTAAACTGAGCCAATCAGATACTCGCCACTTCATTGTTAGTGAAGTTGGTAGGTGATTTAGCTTAGTGGTAAAAGACAGAGTAAATTAAACCAGTTATTGGACTGCTTTTCAGAAAGCCCAGACTGCTACCTCAGAAAATATGCATAGAATTTCTAAAGGAAAGATTGATAAGTGTGTAGGTACCTAGATATGTAGCATAAGTCAGAAGGAGGTTCCTAGTGAAAGAAAAAATTTCCCCTTTGCTGAGGACATGATCTTTTGCTATCCCTGAGTAATGAAAATGAATATAGACTTAAATTTATTTATCACAATTTGGGTGACAACAACCTACAGGCACAATTAGAACCACACAGACACTGGAAATATCATACCACTACTTTAAATCTCCATTGTATGCCTTTGATCAAGACGTATCATCACAATCACCTTTTTGTTCTGAACTCACTTTGTGTTTTGCCAGTTGCATCCCACACCATAGCTTTATTCCCATATTTTGAGGGTTCAATCAAGGAGAGAGAAACCACACTAGTCCTTTTTCATTAAGATAATTTAATATAGGTATGATTAAATTGTCTTTCAAAGATGGAAAGCATGAAAGAAAAATATGGTAATAGGGTGTCATAACTGTTGGATTTAGTGACAACCCCATAGGCTAAGGGGTAAAGGGAAAGGTTGGAATGAGTGCCCTTTACTGACCATTATTGAAAGAGCTTAAAGAGAAACCAGGTGGGAATCAGAGCCTCCATCACAGCATCACAGCTGAAAGTATAGAAGGGTAAGTTTGGAGCAGAAAAACAATAGCTTAATATTCAGTACAAAGAGACAGCTGTAGAGTATGGGGGAAGAACATATATGAAAAAATATTACCTGGAATATGAGGGGGGAAATCACATTGGCTGCTACTAAGGCAAACTCTTTCATATCGCCTCCTTGATGAGCTCTGAACACTTTAAGATCTTCAGGAAGGGGAAGGGAGTAGTCAAAGAACTCTTAGGAATGACTCGTGGATGTGGACAACAGAGAGGGATTGACTGTGGGAGAGAAGGGTGGGTTGGGTGGATGGGGGGAAAGGGGGAAACATTGGGACAACTGTAATAGAATATACAATAAAAAATAAAGTACAACAAAAGATCTTCAGGATCTGATCATGAACAGTAAAGGATCTAAGACATACAAGTCATTTTTTAGTAAATGGTCTGACAAAATTCAGCGGTTCTCCACCATGGCTACACAGTACACCCACCTGCAGTGCCATTAAGGACATTATGCTCTTTTCACTCTCCAATCCAATTAAATATTCATGTATAGTGATGGAACTGAGGTACAAAAATTTTTAAAGCTCAGATGCTTCCAGTAGGAAGCCTAGATTGTGGATGAGTGACATGCACGCTCTCACACAACCTGCACCAGTAGATTTGTTTGAAGTCAAAGTTTTATGAAAATATAAACATGGATAGTGAAGATGGTTGAGAATCATATATACATATACATACACATTAAAAGGGAGTTGTGAATTTCTATAGGATGCCTGGGTCATAGGTGACAAATAAAAAAGATTCTATAGTTGTAATAAGATTCAATTATGAGGTGACTTTGACATACATAGGATCCCAGAATACTCCTTTAATCCTTTTAAGGATTAAAATAAGCAATTTTCAGATACAATAGATGAACAGGAATGAAAACCATGAGCTACAAGAATTGTATAACCAAAGAGATATGTTTGCCAATTCCAGATGTTTGGTCTTGTGGTCATTTCCAATCCACAGACCACCGCCCCCCCAAGAAAAAACCTCAACACAGTGGCCCAAATATTGAGACTAGGCTGTTCTGCTGAGGAGCCTCTGCATGGCCCTCTTGATGTCCCTGTTCCTCAGGCTGTAGATGAAGGGGTTCAGCATGGGGGTGACCACAGCATACACCACTGAGGCCTCTGCGCTCATTCTGGGAGAATGTGACACAGTAGAACTGAGATACACCCCAAGGCCTGTTCCATAAAATAAACAAACAACTGACAGGTGAGAGCCACAGGTGGAGAAGGCTTTATACTTCCCACCTGATGATGGGACTCTCAGAATGGAGGAAACAACTTTATAGTAAGAGAAAAAGATACCTGAGACTGGAATACCACCAAAGATAGCACCAATAAAATAAACTAATATTTTATTGGTAGAGTTGTCATTACAAGCAAGCTTGAGGAGTTGTGGAGGGTCACAGAAGAAATGAGGAATTTCCACCTTTGTGCAAAAGGAAAGCTGTGATATTATCAAGAAGTGCAGTTGAGAGTCCAAAAGGCTGATCAAAAAAGACACCAGAACCAGCCGGCCACAGAGGCGGGGGTTCATGATGACCGTGTAGTGCAGGGGGTGACAAATAGCTACAAACCGATCATAGGCCATCACAGTTAGGAGTACACTGTCCAAACATCCAAAAAAATAAAAAAAAGACAATTGAATCAGGCAGCCAGCATAGGAAATGACTCTGCAATGAGTTTGAATGTCCCAAATCACCTTTGGGACAGTGGTAGAAGTAAAGCCAATGTCAGCCATAGACAGGATGGAGAGGAAGAAGTACATGGGTGTGTGGAGGTGGGAGTCAGAACCGACGGCCAATATGATGAGCAGGTTCCCCAGCACGGTCACCAGGTACATGGCCAGGAACAGGCTTAAAGTTAGAGGCTGAAGTTCTAGATGATCTGAGAACCCCAGAAGGAGGAATTCCAGTGCACCTGTGAGATTCTGTGGTTCCGCATAGCAGAGACACCTTTTAGAAAATACATGAGGGTTGGTATAAAGGAAACAAGCACATCAGTGTGTCTATATTTTGGGTTTAAGCAATCCATACATAAAGTATTCACAATTAAAGACCATTTCTTTTTAGTAATGTTTCTCAGTTATGACAAACATTCTTCTTAGAACTCTTTTCATATTGGATTTTTCTCCATAAATCTATTACTACATGCATCACTTCAGAAAGAATGGGCTGAAGAAATTAAAGAAGTAAGGTTATTTAGAGATTTATAAATCCATAAACACACTAACATATTGGCCCCTTCCTGTGAAGGAAAGAAAAGGAATGAGAAACATTCTTCTCCTTTAAAGAAAAAAAAATGTTCAAGGACACTAATAAGTAGTCAAATGTATTCTATATAAATGCAGTGCAATGAATTCCCTTGATTTGTATGATTTATATATACCCTGTAAGAGCTATGCAATAAAGTGTCTGACTTCATTTTTTGTGTGTGATGTCTGGCTACTAACAGTTCTTAAACCACTCCTCTCTCCCTCTCCCCCTTCTGCAACATCTGGGCTGGCTGATAAGAAATCCTTTGTTCTCCAGTTATAACATAAATAAGTCATGGGGGTATAGTGTACAGCATGGTGACTACAGGTAATAATACTCAAACTAAAAACTTTTTGCATAGCAAAGGAAACCATCAACAAAATGAAAAAACAACCCACTGAATGGGAGAATATATTCACCAATCAAACATCTGATAATGTTTAATATCTGAAATTTACAAAGAACACATACAGCTCAACACCAAAAAAAAAAACAATCCAGTTTAAAAATGGGCAAAGAACATGAATAGACACTTCAAAGAGTAGCCAATAGGCATATGAAAAGATGCTCAGCGTCACTAATCATCAGAGAAATGCAAATCAAAATCACAATGAGATACCACCTCACAACTGTTAGAATGGCATCATCAATAAATCAACAAACAACAAGTGTTGGTGAGGATGGGAGAAAAGGGAGCCATAGTGCACTGTTGGTGGGAATGGAGACTGCAGCCACTATAGAAAACAGTGTGGAGGTTCCTCAAAAAAAAATTAAAAATGGAATGGTCTTATGACCCAGCAAGTCCACTTCTGGGTATACCATATATACAAAAAAACCCAACACTATTTGAAAGAATATGTGCACCCCTGTATTCGTTGAAGTGCTATTTACAACAGCCAAGATTTGGGAGTAACCCAAGCTCCCATCACGGATGAATACACAAAAAAGCTGTGGGTGGGGCAGGGGAGAGCAACTGGGAAAATGTTGGGATAACTGTAATTGAACAACAATAAAGAAAAAAGGTGTAGTGCACTTACGCAGTAGAATACTACTCAGCCATAAAAAACGAAATCTTACCATTTGCGACACTATGAATGGACCTGGAAGGTATTATGCTATGATTTCACTTATATGTGGAATCTAATGAACAAAATAAACTAACAAACAAAATAGAAACACACTCATAGATACAGAAAACAGACTGATAGTTCACAGATGGGGGTGGTTAGAGGACTGGGTGAAGAAGGTAAAGGGATTAAGATACACAAATTGGTAATTATAAAATAATCACAGAGATGTAATCTACAGCATAGGGAATATAGGCAATAGTATCATGATAACTATTTATGGAACCAGATGGGCACTTGAAATACTTGGGGAGCCGTTCTGTGAAGTACATGATTTTCTAACCACTATGCTGTACATCTAAAACTAACATAGAATAATATTGAATGTAAACTGTAATTGAAAAATAAAAAAAGGTATAGGAACTAGCTAGGAAGAGTTGAGAAATAGTGGTATGATGGAGCAAGTTCCAGGAAAAGGAAGCATATTTTCAAGAATTTAATACTTATGTATATGCAGAGGTTGTTTCTATACTTGTCTCCATCAACTTCTCACTTTCAAATAATTCATATTACTGGTTGCATAATTATAGATTGTATGTTAAAAAATCAAGCATCATTTAGAGAAAGGATATACAAATCCTAGTGTAATTCCAATAATCTTCTTTGTAAATTAGAATAACATTATTGAGCTTTTCTATACTATTCATATTATAAAATATATTTTAAAATAAAATTCCATGATAAAATACAAAATACTATATTGCATATTTGAAAGTTATTAGGAGACTAGATCTTTAAAGTTCTTATGACAATAAAGAAATTTTGTAACTAAGTATGGTGACAGATACCAACTAGACTTATTGTGGAGATCATTTTGCAATATATACAAATATTGAATCATTCTGTTGTATACCTGAAACTAATATATTACATGTTGATCACATCTTACTTTTTTGTAGACAAAGGGTTAGTATCCTTAATAAATATAAAAAGCTTTTACAAGTTAATAAAAAAAATGAAACATACGAATAGTCATATCACAAAAGAAGAAATACAAGTAAGCAAAAATATAGAAAAAAATCTTCAGCCTACCTAGTAAATAAACAAATTAAATTTGTTTATTGTTTAATTTGATACTATTTTTCACCTATCAACTTGGCAAAGATTGTTAATACTTGGTGTTGACCAAGATACAGAAAAAGTACCCGCAGCCACTGCTGGTAGGGGTACAAACTGATTCAACATTTATTTAGTTAATGTTGATCATACCTCACTTTAAAAAAAAGCCTGGGTCCTCCCATTTTTTGGTGACAGGGAGAGAATTACATCTGCAGAAACTCTCACTCTGAACCCACATCCTAACTGCAATGGGTTTTTTTTTCTTGTTCAATTACTGTTGCCCACCACTTTCCCCGTTGCTCTCCCCTGCCCAGCCCAGCACCCCCCGCAGACAATCCCCACCCCATTGTCCGTGCCCATGAGTCCTCTCCTCATGTTTTTTGAAGGCACTTTCCTTGACCTCTCATGGCATTTCAGACCAGTTTAGAAGGGCTTTTATGCTCTACAGACAGGGAGATCTTCACATGAGAATTAAATATTTTCATACTCTCCTATATGTGTGGCATTTTCAGCCTCAACATCCAAGCCAAGTTTTTGGGCAGCAGTCCATCCTGATTCTGCAGAGTGCCCACCACACTTGCTGCAGCGAGTGGGGCCCTGAGACAATGACCACAACCATCGCGAGTCATTCTTGTCTTGCTCTGGCTTGGCTGCACGATGGCAAACATGCATTTTGAGCTACTGCCTGCTGGCAAGCGTGCATTGTAGACGGCACTGCACTGTGCTGCATTTGCTGAGTCTTTCTAATTCTTTCTTACAGATCTAACTGACCTGACTTAGAAGTGTCAATAATTACGTGGCTATTAGAGACAGGAGTATGTCTTAATATGGCCCTGGGTCTTGTGTCTTGAGCGGACCTATCTGTATGTCTTAGAATGAAGATGTGCATGCCACGAGTGTCAAGGGAAAGATTCTTACCCTGATTTGCTTGTGTTTTAACGAGGCATTGGCCCCTGTGGGTGCTCAGGGGAAACAGTAAACCCTGAGCACAATACAGGTTCATTGGGTGGGTGCTCACAAAAGAGTAGTCATCAGGGGAGAGAGAAAAAGAGAGGGGGGAAGAGAAAGGATGGGAAGGAGGGGGGAGGGTCAGGATGGGAATGGGGAGAAGAGAGAAATGCAGACATTATGTGCCATTTTGAGGTCTACACTTCTAAGAATAGAAAGCTCACCAGGACCTTTCAGTGTGTCTGCTGCTACTGTTTCCCATGCCTTTCTTTGAACAAAGATCTGAACCCTCAGAGTTTTAGAGAGAAACACTCATGGCATCTCTGTGGCACAGTGAATGAGTTAATTCAAACCTAATTTAAGCACAAGGTACATAAGCCATTATCATGGAGGAATGCCCTGACCCTGAAGATACTGATTTGAGGCTCTCTGGAGGAGGAAATTTATAAATATGAGTAGGATAGAGAGAGCATTCCTTGAAGCATATCCAGTGATGAAAGAAAGAGGAGAGGAGAGGAGAGGAGAGGAGAGGAGAGGAGAGGAGAGGAGAGGAGAGAAAGAAACCTGGGTATGGGAAAGGGAACAAAAAACCTGAAGCAGAGGTATACAATTTGACCCAGTTGGAACTCCCAAATTTACTGAAAGAATTCATAGAACAAAAAATCAAATATGGTGATTAGCTTTTGCATCTCTTCAACACAGATCTGAATTAGGTTTAACATCAGTTGAAATGCACCAATTGGCATATTTTCACATCCTCAAAAAATACTAGGGTTCAAATTATAATAATAGCTGGGGATCCCAAAAAGTTTCACAAGGTACCCTCTGTAATCTTAGGAAGATTCTTGAAGATAAAAATAAAAGACAATTATGTATTCTTTGCCTTGACCATTGGATCTATTGCTTTGCCTGAATTGTCCATTGCAACAGTCCTCATTGCCCTCAAAAATCCCTTAATAGGCATGGACATTCTGACTAAATTAAAATTAAATGAAGTATTCAGCCCTTGATAGGAAAACCTGCCCAGTTTTTCACCTCCTGTTTTCTCTCCTTTACTTTACTCAGGACACTTTTACTTCTGACATTTCTGGTCACCAAATGTTTGTATGGGAGAGGGAGGACCCATACCAACGAATCCTCCACAACACCAGCTGAGTGTCTAATTTAACTCAGTTCTGACACTGTCTGCTGGCAGTGTCAGATCCAATAGTTTAAGGGCCCAATCACACAGGGCCACTCTCGTCCAGACTTCAGATACCAATCACAAGCCGTAGGTCCCCTGTTTACCCACAACTTCAGTTCAACTTGGCTATACCTCAGAGGTTCTCACAATCCCCTGCTCAGATTCAGTTAGTCATTTTGAAAAGGGTGCTTGGAGGGAAATGACAGAATCTCATTCATTTCTTTAGCCACACAGGGATGGGAAGGGATGAAAGACCAGGCAGGAAAGCCCACAGTGTGTGCCAGCCACACGGACTAGGCTGTGTTCCTATAAACTAACAATGGGTAAGCAACATTTAACAGAATGTATATAATTTTTTTGCTTGGTTGGTTTAGTTGCCAACTCTGTGCCAACCCCAGTGTGGATACTAGGGAATTAGAAATAAATGAGACCCAGTCTCTTCCCCCCTCAAGCATTCTGCCTGGAGTGACCTGGAAATATTATAGTTTTACCCTGGCTGGTGTGGCTCAGTTGGGCATCGTCCCACAACCATAAGATTGCCGGTTTGATTCCCAGTCACAGCACATGGGGATGGGGATTTGGTCCCTGATTGGGAGTGTGTAAGAGGCTATTAATGTTTCTCTTTCACATCAATGTTTCTCTTCCGTCTTTCTCCATCCTTTTCCCTCTCACTAAAAATAAAAAATTAAAATCTTTTTTAAAATTATAGTTTTACCAATATACACAATGTGGATATTCTTCATTCTTTTCTTACACTTCTTCAAAATCCAGTATTTTATACAGACAGCACATTGCAGTTTGGACTAGCCACATCTCAAGAGCTCAATAGCTATGGGAACCTAACTTGCATGGAAAGACATTGTCCTGCATCCTGTGTCCTGTGAGTAGAGTCTCACTGCTCAATCCAAACCTGATTCCACCTTTTTTTACCCCAGGACCTTGGTACAAATTAAATAAGAATACTGTGCTCCTTTCCTCAACACTAAAATAACAATCATGTGCACACCTTGACCTTGGGGGTATCATGCAAGTAAAAACTAAAGCTACATAACACACAGCACTGAGCCAGACACAAGGAAGCCCTCCGTAAAGTTTGGCAATATTATGGTTACTCTCCTCACCACCATCATGACCGTGACCATAGCATTCATGATCATTTTGGAGGGCTTAGGGAATGAAGAGATCCGTTTCCTGCTCTGGTCTGGGCAAGGCCTTGGGAAGCTAGGAATGGCAGTGGAGAAGAGCAGAATTCTGCAAGAGAGTTCTGAAATCCCCAACAGAAAAAATGTCATACACTTCATAGGCCTCTGAGCTGCAACTTCACCTGTCAAGGCCCTCTTATCTGGCTATCTCTGTTGTCCCACTGTCTTGATAATAAGGGGACAAGTTTCTCCATGATTCCTTTTCCACCCACCGTCTCCCATGGTGCTCACTGGTTTGTGCTGTATCCCAGCTGGGCCATGACCTAGCAGTTTGGAATGACGAGGGCCCAAGCTCTCTTCTCAGGCCTTGCGTGGAGACAGACTCAGGCATGGATCTCCTGATGCAGGTGGAAACTCTGGCAGGAAGAGACACAGGTATGACACTTAACTGGGACTGGCAGCCTGAAGGGCCAAAGGCGGTGGCTCATTATTTACTCCTGTATCACCTTGAGAGCTCAATGTGCAGAGCTCACTATTAGCAAAATTGGTCTGTGTTTTCCTGATCTCTGAGGACTTCCTAATATTAACAGACGAGGAAAAGGAGAACAGTGAATGTACTTAGAAGGGTCTGGGACTTTCCTTTTCTCAGGAGAAAGCACATCTGTACCGTTTGCTTCTGACTTCCACGTTCAAGGATCTGAACATAGAATGCAGGCTCTTTTTTTCTTCAATTTATAACTTTTTGGCTTTGATATCTGAAAAATCTATTGTATTAATCATGTAAATTAGGGAGAATTAAGCCTTTTTTAACAAGAATTTGAAAACATGTCCATTTTCTTAGTTAATATTTCCGTCTCTAAAAGGAACTTTCGGTTTCCCTTTTTCAGGGATTTTTTAAAATCCTCACCCAAGGACATGCTTATTGATTTTAGAGAGAAAGGAAGGGAGGGAGAAAGAGAGAGAGAAAAACATTGATGTGAGAGAAACAGCAATTGGTTGTCTTCCGTAGACCCCTCAACCAGGAGTGAACCCACAACCCAGGCACGGGCCCTGACCAGGAATTGAACCACAGGCTTCTAGTTTACGGGATGATGCTCCAACCAACTGAACCACACTGGTTAGAGCAAGGGTTTGGTGTTTTTTTTTAATGGACGTAAGTATTATTTATTGAGGGTTTACCATGTGCAAAGTGCTCTTTGCAACACTGTACACTCCAATTTTTTTTCACTATTTTTTCTTTTTTTAATTGAATTTATTGAGGCGACATTGGTTAATAAAATTGTATAGCTTTAAGGTGTATAGTTCTATACTATATCATCTGTATATTATATTGTGTGTTCACCACACCAAGACAAGGTAGGGTTGGGTTTTTTGTTGCTGTTGTTGTTTTGACTTTTTTTTTTATTTTGCTCATTTAAATGATAGTCCAAGTTCCAACTTTCCTCTTTCATTGATGTTTGTCGGTATACTAGAAAACTATTGACTCTTACAAACTTTATTTGTAACTTGCTACTTCTCTTAAATAAGCCAGAGTATCTAACAAGAGTGCAATCAAAATGTTAGCTAGGGCTGCAGTCCTTTCAAAGTTTGACTGGAAAGAGACCTATCTGCAAGCCCACTCACTTCTGGAAGGATGGAGCTCCT